TCAGATACCATTTGCTTTCTAAACATGGTATAGAAGTGGAAAGAGAGAGAGTTCTTAAGCTCTATAAATCTCTATAAATACCCACAAAAGGGTCACTCTCCCTGGGCACAGAGAGAACTGCTCCTGTCTGTGCTCCTGCACTCTGAAGATGCCGGTCACAGGTGCTGGCGAAACGTTAGGAAACAAAACTTCCAGAACACGGCCACACAGCCCGGAAGACCCACACCAGTTCTTAAGCTATTTGGATAGGACACGATGGGACGATGGGACGTGAAAGGTCAGCTTAGCACATAAAACCTAGTAACAGGTTAAATGTATGCTTTTCTTGCAGGACTCTGTGAGGTGGCTTCCCAAATCTCCTAAGCTACATGGTAGCCATAACTGGAATTCTCAGGGCTCTCACTGGGCTTCTCTGAAGGGGAAAGAAAATGTCCAGGGATCGAGACGGTACAAATTCAGCACAGTCAATGAAAACTGGAAGGAAGGCCGAATCAGTCCTGAGCAAGAAGCTGAAGAATTGGAGGATCCAGATGAAGATGTAAGTCATTATTATTATTAATCATAAGAACTATATTTGATTAGTTTAACGTTAAAATAAGTGAAATCAAATTTAAGTGTTGCACTAGCCTCACTCTATTTTGGGGGGCGGGGGCAGAGAATGAGATCCCTGAAACATGCCTATAGGGCACAGGATGTCCTTGGCCAGAAGAGTCATGATTGAAAGAAATAGAAAGACACACTAACTTGTTTAGGGTTTTGGAAAGGGAATTTGAAGGATTTGTGTGGGTTTTCAAATTGGTTTGGGCTTTTAAAAAGATGTATATTTCATGTGAAATAGAAAGGCACACTAACTTCTTTTCCCTTTTTCCCCAGCAAATCATTTTGAACAGATGTGTTTTATTTCTGATTGTTTCAACCAACTGTTAAATTGCTTCAAAATATAGGAAGTGCTATAGAATTGTTTAAAATGAGTAACAAATGAACAAAGACTCTTTCTTCACCACGTGGGGAAGTGCCTTGACTTTCTCTTCAAGTTTATTAGTGTACCTGCTGCCTTCCAACAGTGACCCTTTCTGTGACTGGTATGTTTTCTAAACAAAACAGGAACCTATATCCAAATTTTCTGGGAGCCTCTTTGCCTCGAGCGAGAGCATTAGAGATCAGAGAAATGCGAGAGCCCCACTTGAACAAGACAGGCAGAAGATCGCAACCAAACCCAAACACTTCCCAGCCACCACCAACAAGCAGCAAGTTGCAAACAAAATTGCAGCAGGAGGCAAAAAGTTCTCCAGGGAAAACAAGGACCAAACCCCAGGCAGCACGGAGGCAGCCCAGCCGCTCTTGAAGGTAACTCATTAGCAGGAACTTTAGTTTAGTTGGTTTAGTTTAGTTTTCCTCTCCAATCATGCTCTAGAGGGGCCTCATTTGCTGACAAGGCAATGGGGTTGCCATTTCCTGCTTCTAAGGTAGCTTTCCCCAACCCACCAATCCTCCAGGAATATTGGCCGACAAACTCAGCTGACCTGTGATGGGCCTAGAAATAATGGGAACCAAAATTTTCCCAGCTGACCTGTGATGGGCCTAGAAATAATGGGAGTTCAGAGCACGTGGCAGGTCCCTGGTCAGGGATGGTTGTTGGAGGATTTGCCTAGGTTTTGAACTAGCCTGGGTCTTCCATCTTTATTGGTACTTTGAACCACAGAAGTCAGAAGGTGAAGCTTTTTATGGCTGGGACATAACACAGAACTTCATGGGATCAGGGGGAAAAAAAAAAAAGCAGGGCTAGGACCAGCTTCATCTCTTCCTTTCCCAGCTGGCAATCTTAGCTCATTCCTGCTTCTCTTCTAAGACTTGTTTTAAGACCAAGTCTTGCTATTGGAAGCAGGAGTTGTTATGAATCGTGGCTGATGAAGCCTGGATTCTTATGCTCACCACATTTTTATTCACTTGGGGTCTCAGCATCAGCAGTGCTTATTCCAGCATGGATACGCTTCCACATAAGAAAGAATCTCAGGCTGTTTTAACCATCCATTCCACAACCACATTTTCTGATTTTACTATTGCTCCCTTCTGCCTCTTACTATGCTGCTCTCAGGGAGCAGTCATCATTGGAGACGAAGAGCTTAGTCTGGGGAATGGCCTTGAAATGTCCATAAAACCTGGTCCTACATGTGCTAGATGTGAAAAATCTGTGATTCTCCAGATTTTATTGAATTATAACTCACAGGAGCTCTAGCTAGCATGACTTATGGGAAGAGATGATGGGGATTGTACTTCAGCAATAACAGGAGAGCCATGGGTCTCATGTTGGTTGTATGGAAGAAGAGGGACATCGCTTTTAGCTGACAAAATGTAAGTTATTCAAAGAGATTAATTTAGGAAAGAGGGCTAGAAAATTGCATCTTGAGCATAGGCTAAATCAACAGCATGTTTTTGAAAAAGGAATGCTGATGTTCATTTATGAAATAGCATCCTTTTGTGGAAGCTTTGTGTGAATAAAGGGTATGAGCTTTCTGCTAGGATGTTATTTAAAGTGGTTTTTGAGGGAAGCACAGATTTTAGTAATGAATCCAATTCTTTGTAAGGTTTTTTTAAAAATCACTCACTGTTGTAAGTATTCAAGTTTAAATTGTCCCAAAGCTGTGTATACAAATATATATACGCATAAAACATTATTTTGGGGGAAAAAGTTATAACTGCTTTAGCAATCATCAGAGCATTACAGCAAAGACATCTGTACTTTTCAGTTGCACACCTTTTGCATGGTCATATTTAATTGCTTTTTAAAAATAATTTCATTAAAAGTTTTAAAAACAAAGGTAAAAATAATACAAACTCATATAGAGTAAGGAAGAAAAAAGGAAAAGAAATCAAAGAGTACAAGAAAGAAAGAAAAAGTAAAAGAAAATAGAAAGAAAAAAGATACAAAGAAGTGGCTTCTGATCTTCTTTACAACAGTTATAAGTACAATTATAAATTTACCTCTTTCTCTAAATTTACATCATGAATCTCTTTTTTCTATGATCTATCCTGTCTAATCATCAAAACCATAAATCATGAATTCATTTTTTTTTCTGTTTTAAGCAAAAGGTCCATAAAGGGTTTCCACTCAGCAATAAACGTAGATATTGTCTTTTCTCTAATCAAAGAAGTCAATCTGGCCATCTCAGCAAGTTCCATCATCT